CTTCCCCAGTGACCTAAAAAAAGGAAATATATGTGTAATTCTTTGAAATGATAAGATGTGACTTCCCTAAAATGTAGGTCTCTCGCAGAGATGATACCGACATATCAGCCAGTAGACATGTCCCGTCCTGGGTGGTTGCCGCAAAGCAACACTGCCTGTCCCTACGCCACATCTCAAGCACGAGGAGCGTTTGTTGGCTGTTCACATCCTTGGTTCTGGTCACTGTTCCTCAATATTGAAAGCACCTCTTGGCTTCAAGGCCATGACTGAACGTCCAGTGTCATCCCCAGTCTCTCCCTTGGAACTTGACATTCAGCACTAAATGTTTAGCTACTCCCTGTCACCATTCAGCTTTACCCACCAGCCCCGTGTGCTACCTTGAATCATACTCGCCCGGGTTTAGTTCATCCCTGCCAGTCTCTGTCTCTCAGCTGTCCGTTGAGCAGCTCTCTCTCAACCTAATCCTGTGGCTGGAAACCAGGTGACAGCTTAAAAGACTCACCAATAAATCTGAATCCGCTTTGGTTAGCTACTTGTATTTTTCCAATTAGCCACCCTTTGTCCCAACAGAAGAAAGCTAATTTCATAAGATGCCTATATTTCCAAGATAATGGTATTGAGGGGGAAGGGAAAAGGGAAGCCTTAGATCTGTTATAAGGAAAATCTGCACTGAAGGCCTAAGTAATGTAACCAAAGGAGAAAGTGTCAAACCAAAACTCAAGACAAATGGGTTTCAATTCCAGCTCTACCAATGACCGTGTGGCCGTGGGCAAGTCACTTTCTGATCTAGGTTTCATTTTCCATTCATAAAATGAAGGAATTATCCCACGTGATTATGATTCCCAAAATGCCCCCCAGGTTTAATGTTCTCTGGCTATTTGTATTATAAGTCTAACTTTCTGAGATTTCATTTTCTCATTTGGAAAATAGTGATAACATGTCTGGTCCAAACTTCCTCCCTGGGCTAAGTGTCAAGTAAGAAAATGTGTGAAAGTCCATAGCACACTGCTAATTTTGGTGAGGGGGCAGGGAGCCCATAGGCCCTGAAGCAATCACACACCCTACTGTGTTGTAGTTTCTAACGAGCTGTGACTGTGGAAAGGTATTCCTCTCCCTCATTTTTTCAATTAAAGAACATTTTCAAAGCATGCAGAGTAGGATCCCCACATCTGTCCTGTCGAAAAAATGCTTTTTAAAGGTATCTTAGTCACTTTCTCATCACTGGGACAGAATGCCTGACACCCACAACTTACGGGAAGAGAGATTTGTTCAGTTTCATGGTTTTTCGAGGTTTCAGTCCATAGTTAGTTGGCTTAGGCAGAACTGGCATAGTGGAAGGATCTGGGCTAGGGAGAGCTGCTCAAGTCATGGTGAACAGGAAACAGAAGGAGAAGGGAAGAGCTAGGGAGGGAGATGCACCCTTCCACATCACATTCCCAGGGCACCTATGATCTAATCACATCCCCAACACAGGAGACTGTTGGGGGACACCACAGAACTAAACCGCAACAAGGGGCAAAAGGTCACACACCCACAACATTGGAAGGGAACGTCATAGTAGAAAGTTTTGCTCAGCAGGATACAAACAGGTTATTGAAGGAGGTAGGGAGGGCATGAAAGAGCAAGCATTCACTTAATGTCCATTGCTTTATAGTCACCCTGGGTACTTTGCACTATTTATCTCAGCTTACTGCTATGAAGTGTTAATTTATCATCATCATCATCATCATCATCATCATCATTGTCATTATCATTATCATGACAGGAACGAATTCTCCAATTCTTCAGACACCAGGCCAGATTCTTACAGTGTGATTCAATACTGGCATTATTTACCTGGAGTGAGCATCAGTTTCCACCAGGAAACACCCAGGCCGCTGGTTGCCACTCATTAGTCAAGGTATTTCTGACTGGCCAGCTATAAATGAAGGATTTCCACACTCCCTCCTCAAGACTCAGTCATTTGCTAAAATGGCTCACAGACTTCAAGAGAACACTTTGCTCATGCTTTACAGTTTGGAGTAAAGGATACAAACCAGAAACAACCACATGGAACCAACACACGGGGCAAGGTTGCGAGGCAGGGGCAAAGGGAGGCTCCCACACTCCCTTCTGACCAGCCACCCTCTCAGAACCTCAAAGAGTTCAACAGCCCAGGAATTCACAACCTCACTGTTTAAGACTTTTTGTAAAGCTTCTACCTTCACCTCTTGGGTCCCTGAGTAAGACCACAACTTCCAGCCCTCTGATCCACTGGTCCTTCTGGTGTCATCGCATCCTGAAGTTATCTAGTCTAGGGGTCCCACACTAACTCACCTCAGCTAGCATAAGGTCAGGTATGATCCAAAAGAGCCCAATAAGAATAACAAAGGACACTGAGAGCCCACTGCTTCCAGTCTACAACACTCACCTGTACAAGGATTTACGGAAGATTTCCTCATTTCAACAGGATTCAAAAGACAGCAGCAACCCTCTGCATAAATCATTCAAGTAATGGCTACACTCATTTCTCCATGTCCCAGTCTATTCAAGATGCCCTTGCCTGAATATTTAAAGATAGAAATCCAACATTTTTAGGAGGTCTGTGTCAGGATCCAGGGACAAAGATCAAATAAGTTTCCTACTTTGCCACAAGTAATATTATTCATATCATCTCTACATTGGAAAAAAACAGGGCCTAAACATCACTTGCCCTTCACATTCCAGAGCTGAGAACAAAATTCCAGCTGATCAGGTCTCAAAGCCTGCTTCATTTTTTTTCTTTAAAGGGCAGGGAAACGTCGACTCATTTCCATCTGCACCTAGTTAATCCCTTATATCATCTAAACGTAGTGTTGTTGTGCATCAGGAATGAAAGACACCTCCAGGGAATTAACCCGTCTTAGAAGGAGCTCTCCTCCACATTTGGAAACACACAAGAGACGTTTCCTAAGACCAAGCATACCCCAAGCCTATAGTAGGTACTGGAGCTACAGAGTAAATACCACACAGACCTTGTCTTCAATTTCTCAATGACCCTACTTTCTACTCTGTTTTCAGCATACGCTGAGTTCAAGTGTCACCTAGGGTTACCGGTGAGCGATGTAGCTGTTGCACAAGTTTTGTGAGGACAAGTTGAAAAGAACAGAGCCGGAGCCATCTGGGAGTTTAAAATTTCATGCCTTCATGCCTCATTTTGCGAGAGATGGCATGCATCATTTATGCAAGGATTTGGGTGGCATTTGTTTTATTTAAAGCCCATTTATCCTGGACTTTTTCCAGGGCCGTGTGAGATTTTATGATTCATCAAATCTATCTTCTCTGTAATGTTGTTCTGTGCACATGCTGATGTGTGCCATGCCCTCTGAAGGGAACAGGATCTGGAGTGTGGTCAGAGGAAAAAGGCGTTATCATTGTTGAACGGGGCCCACTCCTTCCAGTCTACAATACTGTGTGATAAAAAGGAGGCAGGGGAGATTTCAGGAGCATGAGACACAGGAAAAAAAGCACAAGTGATTTTTCTTTTTCTTTCACTCAGCATTCCACACTTCTGATCACCAAAACACAGGAGGATTTCTTCACACCAGCAACCAAGTAATCAGTTCTGTAGCAGATACCTGCTGGATAGCCTCCTTTTCAATTTCACTCTGACACCATCTACCTGGAAATAGTGTCAGACCCCACAGGTTGGGGGCTCAGTCCCACAAGACTGTCCCTGCATCAAGTCGCAAGCACAACTGTGACCTGTGCTTCTGAAATTCTATCAACTGAGGCTCCTGCGCCTCCCTCCTTGGGTTCAGTTAATTTTTAAAGCACTTCACAGAAGTTAGGAAAATAACATGTACCAAGGCATTATAAAGTATATCACAAAAGATATCGAGGCTTATCATTCAAAGGGGGTGGGGGGCATAGTATATGCTTACATCACTGCAGCTAAATGAGGTTCCCAAGTTCCTAAAGTAGTAACTGGAGAGAATGTTTGAACCTTGCTGATCATATCACCTGAGGAGCCAAAGAGGAGCACAGGGGCCTGGGAAGAGAACCAAAGGATCGATGTCTTGGCCTTCTCTGTTTTCCTTTCCTTCTGAATTAATATTACTTCTGAGGCAGAAGAAAGAGCCATGAAGATCTTAGACATCTTTTCTGAAGGGTAGATTTCTTAGGATAGGTGCATGTTTTCTTCCTTTCCCTAATCGTGTCACCTCCTACCCCAATCAAACTCCTTGGAAAATGATTCAAGTCACTACACAGTATCATTCAATCTCATTTTCTGGAGGAAGAAATGTTGACTAAGGGAGCCCTGAGGACTGTCACAAGGGGGAACACGGGGGAGAAAAATGGAGCCATGTTGTCACTGTTTTATATAATGTATACTGATATAGAAAGAAACACAAATTTTGAATAAAATAGCTAGAAAACTGGCTTCACCTCCAAATTGTTTTAAGCCACCACCCCCTCCATGACTGCAATAAACTTAGAATGTCAGAATGTGAAAATGTAAAGATTATGACCATTGACAACCTAAAACTCATGAAGTGCTGACAATTTGAGAAAAGGACTCTTGGTCCACTCTGGAATTTTTTTTTTTTTTTATTCTCTGAGCACTGAGCATCCAACCTAGCCAAAAACACAAACACAGAATAGGGCCCATGAATTCTTGTTCCTCCCTGCCTACTCGCTTCTCACATAATCCCAGAGACATAGATGGGAATCTACTTGCCAAGGATGCTTCTGTCTGTAGATTCCTTCCTCTTACTTCACCTGAGCACACCCCTGACTACAACTAAACTCAAGTTCTCCTATCACTAGAGAAGTGCATTTTTCAAAGCAAGGGCGCCCATCACCTTCCCAATCATATTGCCTGGGTTTGACATCAGTGCCTCTCTTTAATGCACTTAAATGTGACCACACTGAAAATCTGAAGAAGGTCCAACACTGTAAAACAACCCTGATGATGAAGACCCCATCTGGTGACTCCAGAGGGAGGAAGGAAATTATTTGTCTAGTGCAAGTCACTATATTTGGCCCTTTTAATACATTGCCTTATTTAAATCTTGAACAGCCCTGTGAGAGGGTAGATGTCACTGTCCCCATGTAACAGGTGAGAATATTAACAGCATACACAACTTGCCCAAGGTTGCACAAATCGCAGATCATCTCTGTTTGAATGCTGCCATCCACCTCATTTGTCTTCAGCCACCTTCTGTCTGTATTGCACTCCATTTACAATTCAAATTCCTGAGAAGCTGACTTCAGCTTTTTGAAGCCATGGATTCCTGGGCCAGAGTGCTGAGATAGTTCTTCCAGAGCCATGTGGAATTCAGCAGAAGCAGTTTATGGAAGGAAAGGCAGGATGCTGTTTCCAAAAGAGGGTGGAATAGATCAATGCTAAGCAGGACAGTAAAACACATTAATCGCCCACACAATGCCCTTTGCTCTAACAAGTCACCCTCATGTTCAAGGGAGTTAGTCTGTGATCCTGGGATTAAGTGTTTGTGTTAGTCAGCTTTCCATTACTGTAACAAACATAACTGAGGTCACCAACTTACAAAGATGAAAGGTTTATTTGGGCTCAAGTTTTAGAGACTTCAGTCCATGGTTGGTCAGACATATGGCAAAGCAGACTATCATGGTGGGAAACATATGGTGAGACAAGCCATTCACCCCAAGGCTAGACACAAAGCAAAAGGAAGAGGTGACATGTCATAGTCCCCCATGATCCAACTTCTTCCCACCAGAACCCATTTCCTAAGGGTTTCACTTCCTCACTACAGTTCTAGGGATCACACCTTCAACACACCAGACTAACTAGCATCCACTTGGCCTCTGCTTGTCTCCACTGGGCATCTTAGATGGAGGCAGGTAATGCTCCTCCCTAGTTTAACTTTAAACTCTTCTGAGACTTCTTTTCCCTTGCCATGGTCATGGCCAAAATAAATGATCTGTCATAGGCTCCTTCCTCCTGACCAGGCCTGAAGTCCAGCCATTGGTGTGATGCCTAATCAAGGAAGAGAAGAACACTGTTCAGACCGTTTAGTGAGTAGGACAGGTCAGCTTGAGTAGCAGCTCCCAGTTCTTCAGGAACTCTGAACTAGGAAAGCACTTTGTTGAAAAACTGTCCAGTTGGACAAATGAAGACCTTGCGCTACCAAATAACAAAAATCTAGCCTCTGATTTCTTGTCTGGCTGAGTCTCAGCAATGATCTTCTGTGATGGACCCACAAAATGGCTGCGCAGCAGGGGCAGGAAAGAAGACCCTTTGGAGATGGTGACTGATCACCAGACAGCTTTGGAACACTACAGCATGGAGTTCTGCAGCTCTGCATCCTCTCTAAATGAACCCACTCACTCACTCACTCTTTCTGGGTAGGAAGGGTGTGTTGCTTGGTTTTTGGAAAACTTAAAAAAAAAAAGGAGAGAGAATCACTCCACAGGACTTGTGAGGAGGTGTAGTAAGCACTGTGTACAGACATCTCAGCAGTGGTCAACACATGTTTTATTTACAACTCAAACTTTCTACAGTTAGTTCAGTGTGTCACCTACAAACTATGTTGGGAAGTAAAACAACATGACTGGTCTCACTAGGTCTTTCTTACTTTATGTAGTAGCTTCATCCCTGAAAGTGTGTTTGGTAGATCAATATCAATCTCTGTTGCCTATTGACTTTATAGTTCGTTCCCAGGATTGCTTGATCTTTATAGAGTAAACTTCTATTCCTAGAGACTTCTAATCCTATAGATTTAAGTGTCTCTGTTCCTGTACTCCAGCCTCTCTGCCAAAGAAAAACATTCTAGAAGAAAAAATCTAAATTACTAAGCATTTTCATGTGCCATTTTTCTTAAACTTCATAAAAGCTGGGTGGAATTGTCTCGTCCATATTTTAAAGACAGCTGGGTGCACATCTTCATGCCTAATGAAAGCTGCATGAAGGCTCTAAGCCATGCCTTCTAACACTATACTGCTCTCTTCTTTCCCATGGGTGTTTGTGTAGTGTTCAGAAAGGGCATGAGAGCTGCCCTGTGCTCAGCTGACACTAAAGTTGGATGCATTCACCATTTGATGAACACATTCACTGGCTGCCTCACTGCCACTTTCAGAGATGAACAAGACTGGGATTTAGCCTGGAGTGGCTCCCACTTTAGACTAGGCTTGTTCATAGAAGGTAGCTGCTGTCCCTGCCTGAGGTTACTCAGCGATCTCTTAAGAGGCAGGAGTTCCTTGATGCAGGAGTGTAGAACCCTTTCTCCTGCCCAGATCTCAGCTGGTGACCACTGTGACTTCGTCTGACCACACCTCACAGCCACCTTCTTCCTGGGGAACTGCGCTCTGTTAATTTCCCAGGAGGCTTCACACCCTCAATGCTGCCCACTGCTAGAAGCCCACAACCAACAACTAAAGGACTTGGGACAGAAGGCATCACTGGGCTTCCCGCCTCACCTCAGCTAGCACAAATGCTGTATAATTCATCCTCCAGCACTTTCCTCAGGGCTCACGCTGAAACACTTTGTAGCATGGACATTGGCTCCTGTTCTATCTTGCTCTCCTCTCTCCCCTTCTCTGGAGAACATATCCTCATCTTGGGAGCACTTCCTTGATAAATCCCTTGAATTGGACTCACCATCTCAGGCTTTGTCTAAGGAAACCCTACTGAAGGCACCTAGTTTTGCTATATTCTGTAGCAGAAGAATTATAAGATGTAAGTCTTTGAAAATCCTTCACTCCTCATGTTTTCTTTCGTTCAGAATGGATCTTCTCTAACATTGAACAAAATTAGTGAGATCTATTTGTATTTGTGTGGTTTTGTTTGCATTGAGGTTAAGGAAACCGAGAACTCTTAAAATATTCAGGATTACTAAAAACACCACATGGTCACTGCCAATTTCCCAATAGTATATCACTAAACCAGACTTCTGTGAGAACATCCCATCTGCTGATAGGAGTCATGAGATTTTGCTTGTGAGTAATGGTGTTAACCTAAGTGTGAGTTGCATTGAAAATTAATGCACTGCCTGCCTGATCATTTTCACAGGGCTTTTTGGTGAGGTTGATATTGAGCTTGTTGAATAATTGTGTTTTTTAAAAATCCAAGCAATCCTTTCATAAAAAGAGATTTCCGTTTGCAAGTTTAGCTTCAAGTTTACTGAACCATTTAATTAAGTGTTTAAACTTCTAGAGGTGTTGATTGATTCTAATCAGTATTTTCTGCTACTCTAATTGAAGGCTTCCTCTTTTGGACTATTGTCAGTGAAGCAAAAACATTTTCTTTAAAAAAATAAAAGCAAAATGTTATTTAGTCTTTGGCACTATCTAACACAAATTTGCTTGGGCGTATGACTGCATGAACTTTGGGAGGCCAGAGAGGAGCCAATTGTTCTGTTTCCTTTGAAGTTGGGGAGCCAGCCCCAGGGAGAGGGCCTGGGCTAAGGCCCAGGGAGGACCACTCATAACCTCTTGCAGAGACTGAGACTTCCAGCCAAGCCACTTGCAGGGCTGGCAGTTTTCACTCTTCATGGAAACTCAGCAAGGGGTGTTTTGCAAGGACATTTGCCACCCAGAGAAAGCAGATTTTCTCCTTTAACAGCTCTTGCCTTAGAAAAACAAAACATCAACCAAGCCAACCTCCCACCTCCTATAGCAGCACTCTAGGCAAACGCAAACCTCACTGGTAGAAGGAGGGCTGTCTATGCTGAGCAGGTCTTCCTGCAAGAGCTTGGGGGAGAATCCCCAGCCCGCAGCCATCTGAGACGCGGCCCCCAGACCACCACCCAACTTCTGCTTTTGAGGACTCAGTTTCCTGTTGCCTTCAAAAAGGTTTTGTGGCAGGCTGTTCCTGGTCTCTCCTGAGACAATGTGGTCCTGGTTGACTTCTACTGGGTACAAAATAATATATTATGGATATTTCATTTTTCTGCTAAGAAAATGTCAGCTGCTAAACTAGATCAAACCGCCCTCCAGTTCTTCAGTGCTGACTCATTTTAATTATTGAACTTCTCTCCCTGGAAAGTACATTCTGTGCTGTTTGTCAAGAAACTGGCAGTTTTAACACAATTTGGAAACTTTTCATAGATTGATCACCCCAGGAAAACAGGCAGCTGATCACCAGAATAAATCTGCTGTTCAGATTAGTTTGCTCTGTGATGACACCAAAGAAGTGAGATGTATGAGGTGTTCTCCATCCACCCTGCCTCCCTGGCTACCTGTGAGATGAGGCCTCTGCATGCAAACAGGAACCTTAGTTTCCTGCGTACTTTGAGATTTCAGTTCTAGATTCCTGGCACGCTCACCAACTCACACAGCCAGAACAATCCCTCCCTCCCTCTCCAAGTTGGTCTCTTACCTCCTTCAGCTTCAGTCACTGCCTTCCAGCCATTCCCGCCTTCTTTCTGCTTCGGGAACACTCCCGATGTTTCCCTATCTCAGGGTCTCTGCACATGCTATTCTATCTAGTAACTTCTGTTTCTAATCTAGAAGATACATGGCCTGAAACCCTGCTCTAGAACTCCTTGGGCCTCAAGTCCAGATCAATCAAATTACCACCTCTGGAAGTAGGGTCTAGGATCAGGATTATTTCAAAGTGCCCTGGTGCATTTTAATGCTTTTCAAGGGTTGGGGACCATCAACCTTAGTTCTCCTTTTGGCTGGGTGACCCCACCCGCACTGTTCAGGCCTCATCTTCAAATTCCATCCCAGAGAAGCATTCCCCCGCCCAACCATCTGAAGTAGCCTCGCCTTCTAACTCCTGGTACTCTGCGTCACTCACTGATTTCATTGTCTCTAATACTCATCACTATCTGAAGTTATTTTTTCTATTTTTTTTTATTAGTCTCTTACCTGTCTTCCCCACTGTAATCCCAGGCCCAGGGATCTTGCTCAGCTTGTTGACTTCTGTATCCAGACATCTGCCCGACACATAGCAGTTGGTGGTTTCTTCCTAGGCTCAGGGTATTTGCTGGATGAGAAGACAGAAACATAAGCATATGAATGGAGAAGCAAATGAGCAGAGGAATAAGCAAGCACCTGTTTGTACAGTCTACAAGACTAATTTTGATATTGTACTTCATTTGAGAAAAATGCACAGCTCAGTCCACCTGAAGAAATTAAACTCACTCTATATGCTTTCTATTTTCAGTTTCTCCCTATGAGAATGCAAAATAAAAATTTATTAGCACCCAATTTTCTACAATCACAATAAGTGACAAGTTGCATAGGTTACTAAGAATTCGGTGGATGTAGGTTTGTTGCACCCTGTGCTCCCCCACTTGTCCCGTCGGCCTACAGGGCTGTATCACCCAGCATCTACACCCTCTCCCTCCCTCCTAGGCTCCACCAGAGAAGGACTTAGGCAATATCCTGGCTCTGCCTTCTAGACAGAAGAATCTAATTGAAGAACTCAAAGCATCGTGGCTTGTCTGTGTCACTTCTGACCACTGTGAAAATGTGCCACAGTGGTTGATGCTTCAGGGGACATCTAAGGACAAGAGTGACTCTGCAGCCCATAAGATTCCAAGATGTGATTGTGGCAGAATCCTCTTGCAAAAAGAAAACTCAGTGACCTGGCACTCACCAACCTTACAATCTAGGAGTCTTTCTGAGGACACAGATCCGCTTCAGTTTACAATGGACTTATGTCCATACTGACCCTGTACAAGTTGAAAATTCACTTCATACACCTAACCTTCTGAACATCATCACTTAGCCCGCTCCCCTTAAGAGTGCTCAGAACTCTTACAGTGGCATATCATTGGGCAAATCATCTAATACAAAGCCTATTTGATTATAAAGTGATGAATATCTCATGAAAGTTATTGTCTACTATACTGAAAGTGAAAAACAGAATGACTGTATGGGCATCTCTTCACACCATCATGAATTCAAAAAGTTACCTGTGGAATGATTATGAGTAAGGGACCACCTGTACACAAAGGTATCCTCTCCCCCAAGAACTGTGGTGACCATTCATTCATTCATTCATGTGCTATTTATTAGGCACCCAGAATATTACTTCTATGACGATCTGGGTACTGAGGGAGAACCCACTGAGGGACAGGAAATTGCAGCATTAAATAAAGCAGTCATAGGAGACCTCTCTAAGAATGGGCATGTGAATAAAGACTTAAAGGAGATAAGAAAGCCAATCTGCATTGTTTCTAGGTAAGAGGTGCCAGTCTCCATGCAGGAGCAGGCCTGGTGTGTGGCAAGTGATAGCTGGAACTCAAGTGTTAGGAGAAGGAGTGGGGTCAGAAGGATCACATCCTGAAAGTTTTGAGAGTTGGAATCTGAGTTTGCATTTCATTCTTAAGTGTACAGGACATTCGAGGTTTAAATAGGGTAGTGGTGCCATCTAATGTACATTTTAGCAGGCTTATTCTGGCCCTTGTGCCAAGAGAAGGTCAGGGGGCAAAGGGATGGACAGGAAAGCCACTTAGAGGATCACTGCATCATCTGGGGAGGACACACTGGTGATTTAGGCCAAGGCAGTGGCAGTGGAAGAGGAGAGAAGCAGCTGGATCCTCAATACATTCAAAAGTGAGAGCCATCTGTAGTTGCTAGTGGACATGCATGCTGTAGGAAGTGATAAAAGATGAGTCAAAGTTTGGGTCATGAATAGAAATACTTCTAGAAAAAGGGCCCACTCGGGAAGCAAATGCAAACTGGACAGACCCTTACGTGAGCAAGGAATTACAAAATGGGAGTAATTCATTTCATTGGCAACCTACCACTTGTGGCACTCCAAGCAGACACCAGTGTTAAGCACCCAACCTCATGTTTTCCTCCAGCAACCCAATGGCAGGTGTGACCGTGATCTTGGGGATGAGGGAATAGAAGCTTGGACCAAAAGGGCTCGGCCAGCACCACACAGCCACTCAGTGCTAGAACCATGACATCACCCAGGCTGGCCTGGCTCAAGCTCTCAAACATTACGCCCCAGTAGATGCTGTCCACAACATTTTTAACTAAATTCAAGAAAAGTAATAAATTTCCCTGCTGCCTCCAAAGTGTTTTCAACTGCTTAACCAACTTTCTCTAGATTGATGGGCATCAGCACCTTGGACAGCGGCTGCCGCCCGTGGCATCCTAACTCTCTAGCCTTCTGTTTGTACCCTTTCTGCAGCCTGAACTCTTGATCAGCAGCTCAGCAGTGGCCTCAGCACTGGCTAAATGATATGGGCTTCAGAGTCACAGCTGATGTCACATCCGTTTTTGCTTCAAGGGTTTCTGACTCTGGGGACTTGAGACACCCCAGAGCCTTGGTGAGGCGTAGAGAGCACCTTGCTCTTGGGTGCAGCATGATTGCAGCCTGGGAATCCCATCTTCATCCCCAGTCAGCCTCCAGCACTGGCGCCTTATCCAAGACCACAGGGCCACTTAATTCAAGAGTCGACATCCAAACTGAGCTCTTTTGATGGAAAGCCTTGGCGCTCACAACCATCGTCTCAGTTACTGGAGTTTGTACGAAGACCTAAAGGAACAGTGGGATGGAGACTCAACGAGACAAAGGGAAGGAGAGATTACAGAGACTGGAGCTCTTTCACTGTACTGATTATGTTGGATTTCATATTATAACTTCAGTGTTTGGCAGCCAAAGGTACTAGGTGCATTTTGGGTGAATAAACTGAGAGATGGATGGATGGATAGATTTAGGGTGGTCTTTCTTTTATACAAACTTCCATGACATAACTCTTTTGAAAGAGAAATCCTTTTTTCCCTAGTGAGAACCACACTTCATGATCTTCCATTCTACAAAGCATATCCTCTAGTCCTGGCAACCACCCTTGGAGCACAATCAGTGTGGCCCCAGAGGGCACCTCCTCACCCAAGGCAGAGTCCTGGCAGCCTCCCTTGCTGAAAGAAGCTGATAAGCTCCCTGAAATTGTTTGTGATGGTGAGAAGCCCAGGATCAGCTAGGTCATGCACTGGCTCCTTATCCCTCCTGGAAAGGAGCCTAGCTTGCTAACTGTCCAAATTGAATTTTTAAAACTTTAATTAGGTCACCCATAAAGACTTGCTTCTTTTAATGGCAGAAAGCCCAGTTTCCTAAGTGTTTCCTTGGGAGCTCATCCTTCACCACCCCTCTACTCCTGTTCATCCCACACCCCATTAAGGGGGAAACTCCAAATGGAATGCTGATGAGACAGTATATCCAGCCACGAGCATGGGGTGTTTGGAAGATGGCTCAGGAACAATTATCAAAATGCACACTTGATAGATATTTTGTCATATACTCTTCACAACAGTACAGGGGATGAGGATTGTCCTGCTGTTATCAACAAGAAAAGTGAGGCCATGAGTCTAAGCAGCTTGCCTAACCCTATATTTGGATTCTGACCTGCTAGGGACATGCCCAGTTTTCTTTAAGTGATAACGGTATTTCAAATGGGATGGCTTCCTAGTGGTACTTGTTTCAGCTGTAATCATTGTGACTAATAGACAAAGCAAATTTATTTGTCATCAGCCAATGTTTATTGATCACCAAATGACTGTACACAAAACATCTTACTAAAGGCTTAGATCGGGTCACTTGGACTTTCCTTCATGACCTTAGAGCACTAAACCAGAACGTCATTCAAGTCCCCAGTCAGCCACTTTCTCTACCATATGACCCAGAGAAAGACGCTCAACCTCTTTGAGCTTCACTCTCCTCTTCTGCCAGATGGGCACAGTCATTTGTGTACAACAAATCTCCGATAGGGTCTGAATGGAGCACACAAAACTGGATCATGTGAGGAGAATGTGTGAGTGTAAGGGAGCCGTGGTATAAAGCACTAACAGAGAGAGACAGCAACAGCCTGGCTCTTACTAGCTGGAGGGCCAAACGGCAAATGGCAGGAGAGATTATAAAACCAGGGAGGAAGGCTCTCTGGAACACAGCCCACCACAAGACTTCACATGGCAGGAACGAGGGGGTTAGGACCCTGACAGCCCCAATCCTCCTGCTTGTGATTTCCCACAGGGTGATCACTGGTAATACCTGTGAGAGCCAAGGACAATGGAGCTGGCCACATGGTGCACACAGCTGGTCTCCCCAGGTCAGTAGCAAAGGAGGTAAAAGGTGTCTGGGGTGCAAGTGGAAGCCACCAGCACACAACACCTGCTCTACCTGCCCAAGGTTGCCCTTACAATGATGAAATGAGCCCTTCAGAGGTGAGGGTGCTCTCAGCACAGAGAACATCAAGCTAGTTATCTGCTCACTGGGGAATAAGAACTTTGTCACCAAAAAGGGGCAAGAAGAGTAATCTAAAACAAGAAGCTGAGAAGGGTCTGCTTTTCTCTTCTTCAAATTAAAACAGGAGCTGGGTTTCAAGAGCAGGGCTTCCTCTTTAGAGATCAGAAGCCCAGCTTTGTATCTGGGTCTTCCACCTACCAGCTGAGTAATCACAAGTCTCTTAACCTCTCTAACCCCACACCTTCACCCAGAATGCAGGGACCGCAGTCTACCTGGTAGAGTGCTGTGGGGCACAAAGTAGGTAGAAAGGGAAGCTCAAGATGCCTGGCACATAGTAGGTGCTCAGGAAATGTATCACAGAGTGAAGGAGTGGATGAATGCTAGCGTCCTTTCTGGCTCTCAGAGGGGAGGACCGGATCAGTGGTGTAGAAGGAGCTGTAACATCTGCACAAAGTACTGAGCTGAAGGCCAGATGGGCAGGATGGGTGGCCTGGGCATCCGGGACTGCAAGGCCACAGACAAAAGAGATTATGTCTGAGACAATATACCTGAGAACTCTGACTCAAGTCATAGAAGCTTCTGTGGACCACGGGAGCCTCTATGAAAATGGAATCTGGATGCAAGATAGAAAATTTGACAGAATGTCTTATTTGTCAAAATAGGATTCATCTGGCAATACATTAGAAATGACTGTAAAATTACTTTCTTGGCCAGTTCCCAAATAGCGGTAGACAACTGAGAATTATCTATTGTGAGACTATCATTTTGGGATGTAAATAATGTTTAAAGGGTGAAGAACTTGGGGAAGGGGGAGCTGACATTTGCTGAGAGTCTTGGAATCCAACTGATCCACCATATAACAAAGGCCTCAGCCCTTGCAGAGACGACTTGGCAGAAGGAGACAGATGATAAGCAATAATAACAATAAATCAGATGGGACTGTGGTTTGAGTTGTGCCCTCCAAAAAAGATAGGTTCAAGTCCTAACTCCAGTGCCTCAGAATGCAGCCTTATTAGAAGACAGGGTCTTACAGCTGTGTTAGGACCGGGTCTTAATCTAATGACTGGCACCTGTGTAAGAAGAGGGACATTTGGACGCTCACAGGTGGAACGTCAACAGTTGCCAGAAACCACCGGGAGCAAAGATTGTTTCTCCCTCAGCCTCCAGAACGAGCCAATTTGCAGACATCTTCATTTCAGACTTTTGGCCTCCTGAACCGTGAGAGTAAATTTCAGATGCTTTAAGTAGTTAATGAATCTTGCAGTAATGTGTTACCAAAGCCCTGGGAACCTAACACATAAGTATGTTAGATGACGGTGATGTGATACAGAAAAGTAGCACACGGAACAGGGCAGAGGGAAGGAGTAGGCCGGCGGGACAGGGAGGTGATGGGAATCAGGTCAAGCTTCACTGGGCAGGTGAGGTCTGAGCAGGTTGAAGGCAGCAAAGGCGTGAGCCAAGTCGAGATGGGAGGCGAGCATGGCAGATGATGCAGGAACCATGGAGCCCCGAAGGGAAAGGAGCCATGTTTGAGGGTCACCAAGGAGACCGAGGTGGCCGGAGAACGCGCTGGCAGAGGTGGGAGACACAGAGAGAGAGGCCAGCGCCACTAGGTCACAGAGGGCCTTGAAGGCCTCTGCCAGGATTGTACTCTCACTCTGAGGATGCTGCGGAGCCTTGGAAGGGTTCTGATCTGAAATATGTTTGGAATCCTCACCCTGGCTGCCGCCTTGAGGACAGATGGAAACTGGGCAAGCACAGACGCGGAGAGACCACTAGGGGGCCCCCGCAGGGACCCAGCTAAGAGTATTTCCCGCGCAAGGACTTCCACTGTTTTTCCAAGACATCTTCAAATTAGGGCCAGAGCTAGTTCTCCCTACACCTTCACTCAACCTGGCGGCCCACCACCCCAAGGATGGCACCCTGGCCATAACCTTGATGCAAACTTAGTATGGGTCCTTGAGAAGAAGAATGGAAAGCGCCTCGCTTGCCTTCCTGGGTTTCCCTGCCTCAATCTTACATCCACCTTACAGGGATGCTGCAGGAATCAAATGAGGGGACATCTGTGGAAAGTTATTGAAAAGGCATAAAGCACAAGATGAATGCAAGTGGTTGTAATTGATACTAATAACAGTCACCCTCTCTTCATCCTGCAATTGTTTGCCTATAAATCCCCCCCCCAACACTCTCGTGAAGAGATTGAGCCCCATGTGGAAAGGAAACTTGTACTCACATCTGCTCGGGAGAATTTGGCACTTGATAGATTTCACTGTGACAAGATCAGCAATACCGTGTAACTGTGAGCCATCTGTCAGATCCTGCAAGTAACTTTGCCACATAGCACTAGACCTTCTGAAAGGACAGCAGCCAACCAACACACAATCATTAAGTTATCCGATTCCTTTATGATGCTTTTTTAAACTGCCTGGTCTGATTTTTTTTCCATGCTCGGGAGAGCTATCTTAGCTTAAAATAAGCAAAGATCAGGTGTGAGGAACCTGAGGACACCAACCAGCAGACAGGCATCTGTGTGAACTGGGGTAGGGGGGGTGTAGGCTGTGTGTGTCTCTGGTTAAAAGGAGATATTGATTCAAAGGAAGCTAGAAAATAATATAGAGGTTCCTCAAAGAAGTAAAAGCAGAATCAATTTAACATCCTGCAACCCTACTTCTCGTTATACACCTGAAGGCAGTGAAATCAGAGTCTCACTGAGATGTCTGCACTCCTGTGCTCACTGCAGAATTATGCATAATAGCCAACATGCAGAAACAACCTATGTGTTCACCAGTGGGCTAATGGATAAAGAAATTACAATAGATGACATGCAGATAGATGGATGGAAGGGAGGACAGACAGACAGTCAGACAATGGGACATTAGCCCTTAAAAAATAAAGAAACCCTGCTTTTGTGACAATATAAATGAGCTTGTCAGACATTATGCTAAGGGAAATATGTCAGGTCCAGAACGATCTGATTTATATGTGTATGATCTCACTTATATCTCACCAAACTCACAGAAACCAAGAGAGTAAATAGTGGTTACCAGAGGCTGTATTGAGGGGAAAAGAAGAGATGCTGGTTATTGCTATCCCTTGTATCTAGGTGACCCCTTCAAAGTCTCAGGTGCTCATAGGTAGGGCTTTTTGGAGGTCGCTGGATCTAAGGTGTGTGACTATGGATTAAGGATGTGTGATATCTGGATTAGTCCCTTAGGTGGATCAGCATAGTTCTAGTGTGTGACTGAAAGATGTACTCAAGAGAGAAACCCTACCCTGGGTGTGAGTGGCACCTATTGGCTTATAGCCCTTGATGGAATATAAAGAGGCAGAAAGAAGGTGGGCTTGCTGCTTACCCTTCCATGGACTGTTTCTCCTCTGTGCTGCCACTCTGCCATACTGTCCTGTGTTGGAGCCAGCTGACTATCGACTTAAACTTCTACAAACTGTGAACCAAAATAAAATGGGAAAATATTCAGCATTCAGCATCACCAATCATAAGAGAAATGGAAATTAAAACCACAATGAGATAGGACCTCACAGCTATTAGAATGACTATCATCTAAAAGATGAAAAGTAGCTAGGTATGGTGGCACATGCCTGCAATTCCAGTGCCCAGGAAGCTGAGGCAGGAAGATCGAGTTCAAGGTGAGCCTGGGTTACATAGCAAGAGTCTGCATCAAAAAAAAGAAGGAAGGGAGGGAGGAAAGGAAGGAAGGTAGGAAGGAAGGAAGAAAGAAAGAGAGAAGAGAGAAAGAAAGAGGAAGGAGGGGAGGAGAGAGAGGGAGGAAGTGAGGAAAGGAGGGAGTCTCAGACTTGTAAGGGAGTAGCAAGAAGAGAGAGAGAGAAAGAAAAAACAAATGTTGGTAAAAATGTGGGGAAAAGGGAACTCTGGCACACTGTTGGTGGGGAAGTAATTAACACAGTCATTATGGAAAACAGTATGGAGGTTCTTCAAAAAGTTAAAAACAGAACTACCATATGATCCAGCAATCCCATTACTGGGTATTTATCCAAAGGAAATTATATCAGTATGTCAAGGAGACATTTGTACTCCCATGTTCATTGTAGTATTATTTACCATAACCAAGATATGGAAAAAGCAAATGTAATATTTGCAGAGGAAAGACATGCATAGATATATAGATATATCTACACCTATATATAATGAGGAATTGTTCAGGCTTAAAAATTAAGGACTTCCTGACATCTGGCAACAGCCTCATGAACCTGGAGGACTAATATTATATTAAATGAAGCAATCCAAGAACCAAGAAAGAAATGCTAAGTGATCTTAATACACAGGGAATCTAAAAATGTTTAACTCACAGAAGTAACTCATAGAGAGTAAAACAGTTCCTGGAAGCCAGGGGATGGGCAGAGGACTGGAGAAATGTTCGTCAAAGTATACAAAATTTCAGTTCAACAGGAAGGACAGAGGGATAAGATCGAGAGATCTGTTCTACAACATGGTGCCCACAGCTGATAATAAGATATTGTACTTCTTCAAATTTCTGAGAGTAGAGTTTAAACTCTCACCATGAAAAATAAGGATGTGAAGCATAGGTGTTAATTAGCTCAATTTAGTTATTTCGTATATATATGTTTTCTATTTGCCAATTTTAAAATAAAAGCATTCAAAATGACATAGTAGCAAGGCTGAGAAGGAAGGAGAAAGGGAGGAAAGGAGAGAAAAAGGAGGACAAGAGGGGAGGAGGAAGAAAGGGCAGCAGGCATAGTCTCTAAAGCAGGAGGCGGGGATGGGTCCGAATGCACCGCAAATGTCAGCCTGTGTGCTGGAAGCTATCACTGGTGCTAGGCGGATAATGTCGAATAAAATATGTCAAGCACAGAGCCAATGATTCCCCTTCCTGTGATGTCACGTCCCCGTGTCTCAGTAACGCCGCTATTACTCCAAACTGTGCTTCTCGCAAAGTAGAAGGAAGTGTGCGTGGATTATCCACCTTTCTCCTTCGTCATCTTCACAGCACATGGCATTCCAACACATAGTCATCCATCCATCCACCCGTCCGTTCCAAGACTACTGTGACGCTGTGAGAAGAGAATGACTTTTGGAATCAGGTGACCCTGGCTAGCGTCCTCATCCTCTGGAGGTTTCTGGCACTGGGAGTCTTACGGGGAAGTTTCTAAGCCTCCCTAAGCCCTAGGGTTCTTGCTCATACATGGGAATTTAAGAAATCTCTGCATTGTAAAGTGCCCAGGAGAGAATCTATAGAGTGGATAGTAAGCAGCTATTGTTACTTTGATCACAAGTTTCCCTTGTTCTAAAAACTCAGTGAGTTCTGGAGAGAGAAGGCTGACATCAGTGAGTCGGGGTGCCTGTCCACGAGGGGATTTCTCTTCATAGAAGGGGCAGCTTGATGGCGTTAAGATCTCAGCCTTGGGAGCCAAGGTGCCCAGGTCTTAGCCCTGACTCCTAACTCTACCACATGCTTAACCCTTCTGGGCCTCATTTTCCTCTGCTACAAAACAGAAGCACCTGCTTCGCAGGCCTATTGCGAGGGTCACAAGTCAATATATATAAAAGTGTTAGGACAGCACCTGGCCCAGAGAAAAGGCCAAGTAAGTGTTTGATACGAGGGGAGATGGGTGTGTGAAGAATGAATTAAATATGTGACAAGCGCTACAAGAGAGAGGAGAGGACAAAGAGGAGGCAGAAGAAGAAACGAGCGGCTACTCCAGGATGGTTGGGAAATGAAACACAGAGGTCTAGAAGAAGGAGTAGTTCTGCAAGTAGACCGGAGAAGAGATGAACTTCAGGCAGAGATATATGGTACTGCAAAGTTATGGAGGAGTGACATGATACAGTCACAGAAATAAGATGCAAAGTAAAAATGCTGATAATGGGTCACATGCACAACAACAAATAATAGTTCTAAACACAAGCATTATCTCATTTAAGCCTCTTGTGCCTCAGAGGCAAGGATAATTATTATTCCTATTCTTTAGATAAGAAAGTTGAAGTTTAAAGAGGTTTCGGGGTTCAACTGGTTAGTGGTAAAGATTATAAATCGGGAGTGCTTAGAACAATGCAGAGATCTGTAAAGTCTTGGATTTTTATGAGTTACTATCAACATTCTAGTTACCCATTGCTAAATAATATCCCAAACTTAACAATGAAACCAACCCAACACTTATCATCCTATGCAGTTTCCAGGGATCAGGAATCTGGGAGGGAATGAGCTGGGAGTTGTTCTGAGTGGTTGCAGGGGGAGATCGTGCAGGGCTGCTGTCATCTGAAGGCATGGCTGGAGTGGAGGATCCACTTCCAAAGTGGCACATCCATGTGGAGAGTGGGTCAGCGCTGGCTGGTGGCCGGAGGCCTCAGTCCCTCCCACACACACTTCTCCCTGGGGTGGCTTGAGTGTCTTCATACCACAGCTGTCTTTCCCCTGTTGCTTTATCATTCCACTGTATTCTACATGACAGGGAACCGCACAGAAGCATGACTGCCAGTAGGTCAGGGTCAGGGGAGCATTCTTTGAAGTTAGAGACCACAATCACAACTGTTTAAGAAAAAAAAAATAGGAACATTATTAGGAGTTTTAGTCAACTTATCCACTGTCAAGACACCATACTTGACACCTGAAACCCAAAGGGGGAGAGGTTTATTTTGACTTATGGTTTCAGTGGGTTCAGTCCATGGCAAGCTGGCTCTAAGGCAGAAATAGCATGGCAGAAAGGCTTGCTGGAGGAAAGCACCTCACCACACAGTGGCTGGGAAATAGAAAGAAGGGAGGAACTGAAACAAGAATACACCCCACAGGTACCCACCTCTAACTAAACCCCACCTCTTAGCAGCACATTTTTTTGACTAAACTCGTCAATAAATGAATCTATTGATGCCTCTACTGATGAGAATAGTGTGCTCCCGTGATGCAGTCATCTAACAAATGAAGCTTTTGGGGGCCACTGTAAATCTAAACTGTAACATTGGATGGTTGCAGTTTTTATTTTGTCAAGAATGTTAAAATAAATCTAGAAATAACTTGTACAATATTGCCAATAGCATTTTGTAAAAGCGAAGTCGTTTAGTAGTAAAAAGTAGGAAAGGAATGATCTCATAAATAAAACAAGTTGCTTATACTTCATAGAACCATAATGAACTGTTTTTCCTCGTTTCACCTTAGATCAACCAAAAAAAAAAGAACTTTGCTCTGGAAACTACCAGGACGGGCCATAGCATTCAGCCACCACAACCTACAAAATCCTAATCCAGTTTCCCTGAGCCTTGCTGTCTTCACTGACAAAATTCACTCATCCATTCAACATAGATGTATCGGGCACCTGTGTTGGGCCAAACTCTACACTGAGCACCGAGAATTCAGCGATGACCAACATAGACAATAGTTCCATTTGATGGAATTAACATTCCAGTGGGGGTTGGTAGGTAACAAGTAAACAAGAAAATTCTAAATGGTAATAAATGACACCTACTGGATAACTGAGGAAGATTACATTTATGATGCACTCCACATATCCAGGCCAGGAAACCCTGTGAAGATCCAGGAAATCACATTTTAGGCAAATGAAATGGTGCAAAATTCCAAAGATGGGAATGAGCTTGGTGTATTTCAGACCAGAACCGCTAGGCCTGACAGAAAAGGAGAGAATAACGCAAAATGAGGTCAGATAGCATGGAGAACAGTGCTTCTCAAACTTCGTTACACATTAATCGGCCTAGGTTGGTTTTTTGTTTCTTGATATGCCCTGGGTGTGTTTAATGTGAAATGTTTTGAGACCCATTGACCTGGTTCTGGGAGAGGTCAAGGGAAGAGTTCACTTTGGGTATCATCAGGGTATGGGTGCTGATTGCAGTCAAAGGACTGATGGAGATTCTCTGAAGAAATCATGATCCAAGAAGGCCACTGTCCAAGCCCTGGGGCACCCTGAGAAAGTCCTGGGCACCCTCAAATCCTGTACAACTTGACATCAGGTAGTTGAACAGAGAAGCTGGCAAGGGAGCCCGGAAAGCAGCAGCCAATCCCTGTTGATGGAGCACTGGGCACCTGGGAGGAGAAGGTTCACCTGGCCACTCTCCTCTTCTCAGAGGCTCTGTTCCCAGCCTCTCCAGCCTCCTCTGTCAACTGTTTGGCTGTGCCCCAGGCCATCGCTAGTCCCTGGTCACCGGCATGCAAACCCATCCATTTAGCAGCTGTTCCTCCTTCTGATGGTTCTGAGTCATATTATTGGACATTTGCCCACACTGCACTGTGTTTTATCATCCCTTCTCCCAAGTCCTTCAATGATCCGGGCCTCTCTGCATTTGACTGCAAGGTTGAGCCATGTGAGCTGCCTGCAGAAGCTGCGGTTAGCAGATTCAGCACCCTTCCCGCAGGGCCATTGCGGGGGTCATGAGCATCAGTAACACAGGGCGCTGAATCAGAGGCAGGAGGAGACACTAGGGCTGGACATGGGGTCGTCTGTTTTCTTTATCCAGAAGACACAGTGACAGCCGAGTCAGTGCTCCTTCCCCCAGCTGCCTTCGGGGCTTCCCCTGCTGCCCCGAAGATGACACTGAAGGAGGCTCTCAAGACGCACCAAACTCTGCGTCTGGACACCTCCTGCCTCAGCATCCACAGACCCCATTCCTTGTATTGACTGCCCATACCAGCACGCCTCTGCCCGTCTCTAACCAAGCTGGGTGCGTGCTTCAACCCTCTCTGGCCTAACTGTAAAGGACATTTCTGGAGATCAAACATCTATTGGCATTTTCAGCTGGTGAATCCACCAGGAGCCATCCCTTGTAAATAATTCATCCCGCTCAAGAACCTCCTCCGATTCAACTTTGATCTACAGATGAGCCCTAAAAGGGGTCGTTGAGTGGATACAGGCAGGAATTCAAGGCCTGGGGGGAACTGAGAAATGAGGAAAGCTGGATCCACCTAAACTCTCCATCCCAGGAGCCTGTACAGCTTTTTTAATGAGATTTTATTTCATTCTTTTCCGCTTACTCTCTTTAATATTTTAAGACATCATAAACCCTTCTTGGAAGCCTGAGAAATAATTAATCAAAGAATCAATTTCCTCTCTTCACAAACACTTGGAGAGCACCTGGGTGAGCCCTAGTGTGCAGGGGGCACGTTGGCGTGAATAACAGTTCCAGGCTCATGGCGAGCAAATTAATCCTGCGGGCCAGAGCTTTCAATGTATTGTTCAAACCCTCCCTTTCTGAAGCCCCTTCTCAAAAGGCTCCTTTACTCCCCCAGATGTCCAGGCCCTGTCCACCATTTGGAAATGGGTGGGTGTGTTAGGTGGCCACAATGACTCGGGGGCAAGGCTGGCATTTAGTGGCCCAGGACACTAGATGTCATACAGCGTTCAGGACCATCCTTCACCACAGGTCACCAGCGCCCCACTGATAAACCCAAAGAGTGGGTGGGGACAAACATGGTGGCTGGGGTGCACTGACAGTCTCAGTCACTAGAGGGCGCTCTCACGTGACGTGGGCAGCCCTTGCACTTGCTGCGCAGGACCCTGGTTAACAATAGTTGCCCAAATCAATCCAGGGAAACCTTTGCTATCACTTATGAGGAATTCACAACACACTGTCAGATGACTTTGGATATGAGGCCCTTGGTGGAGTTCCTTACACCAAGCAGCAGCCTTTGAAGTAGGGCATTTTCCCTACTTTATTTAATCTGTCGATAAATGTGAATTTCTTGTCTTCACATGGACGGCACAATGGGAAGTGATCCAGAGGTGAAAAGAAACTTTCTGAGCTTTCTGCATGGCACATAAAAAAAAGAAACACAGATAAGTGGGCATAGACTTCATCAGAACTCAATAATGGGACAGCCTTTTAGGTGGCTTTGCCATGTCCAAAATTCTTTCACGGCTAGTATCTCATTTGATCCACACAATGAGTCTAGAGGAAGCTGGAGCAAGTATGTTTATTGCCATTTTACACCTGAAAAAACTGTGACCAGGAGAACTTTAGGAGATCACCCAGCATCACAGAATTAATAACCTGCAGAGCTGTAACTCAAGGCCTCAGACTACGGCCCCAGGGGCTCAGC